AAAAAACTTTTTGTTAATTTTTATCATGTCTTCTAGACATGATAAAAATTAACTCTCTCTTTTTGTCTGGAAGGATGTCTCACCGTTTCGAAAATAACCATGACTCATCCATTTCTAAAAAATAATTCCATGAAAAGAAAGAATGAGTTTTGGTTTTTTTCGAAACGGTGAGACATCCTTCCCAGACAAAAAGGGAGGAGTTAATTTTTATCATGTCTAGAAGACATGATAAAAATTAACAAAAAGTTTTTTTTTTTTTTTTTTTTTTTTTTTTTTTTTTATCACTCAGAAATTTTTTTCCAAAGCTCTGAGAATTTTTTCCCAGCCGACTCGATGATCCAAACAAGACAGATCCAAATTGTTTCTAGAAGGAACTCTCCCTTCTCTATTTAAACCACTCGTGTTTCCAACTTCAGTTCAGTCTGTGCTGTGAATTCGACCTGGATACACACTTCTCCCTCCTGGAAAGAATTTCTGTGAAGGTAGGTAACATTTTTTCCTATTTTGTATTCTAGTGAATGTTATTTAGTCACCAGTTTTATAGAAATGTGTTATTATTTCCTTTCAATATAGAAATGTGTTCTTATTTCCTTTCAATACTAAGCGTATGTTAACATTGTTTTCCCTCCTACTGTTTTTGCTTTTCAAGGCTAGAAATGTTTCACTCAATAGCCGTTTTTATAGAAAACATGTTATTATTTCTTTTCAACACTTTGATATTTCACTTGAAAGTAGTTAAAGATTTGTCAGACCCTATTGTTGAGATTTTTTTTACACGAGAAATGTCATGTCGGTCAATGCAACACGCCTTACCTCTAGATCATAGAAAAACACTTTTTATTCTTCGTGCAACAATGAACCTAAATGACAATATTTTTGAAATGGATGATGACTTGAATGATGATGAATCTATAGATATGAAATGTCAAGAACGATATTGGAAATAATATTTAATTCAACATATTCAATAATGAAACAAATATATATTTATCGCATTGTCATAAAACAACAGATATATTACATTTTGAATGACATTTTATGAATATGTGCATATTCAATGATCTACATATTTTGTGAAACTTTAACAAATGACTTTCAAGAAGGCAAGATCATGTGATCCACAGCTGGCTAGACCAGTCAGGATAAACGGATCATGATTGTTCAATCGTATCTGGACTGATATATTTTGTGAAACTTTAACAAATGACTTTCAAGAAGGCAAGATCATGTAATCCACAGCTGGCTAGACCAGTCAGGATAAACGGATCATGATTGTTCACTCATATACTGATATATTTTGCGAAACTTTAACAAATGACTTTCAAGAAGGCAAGATCATGTGATACACATCTGACTAAATCAGTCAGAATAATTGTTCAAACGTATACTGGTATATTCTGATAAAAACAACAGAATTATCCAATTTTGAAAACGAATATGGGTATATATCCCAATATTTTTTATATAATCAATTTCATATTTTTTAAAACTTTAACGAATGACTTTCAAGAAGGTAAAATCGTGTGATTCACCTCTGGCTAGACCAGTCAGGGATAAAATGGATCATAATTGTGGAATCAAATACGAGGGACCGACAATGGCATCGGGTCCTTTTCTCCAACCTCAGGGCCCACCAGTGGCCGAGCGGTAACGTCGCTAAACACTGATAGTTCGGTCCGAGGCAAACCGCAAACGGGCTGGCTGCATGGGTGTTTTTCGTGGCTTTTCCCCATGTGTAACGTGAATACGAGCCAGTTTTCCTTAAAATGTCCTCCAAGAAGGCATTTCTCCCTTAAGGCAAATAGCCCTCAAATGCTTTGCCGTCATCTATAATAGACACACAAAACCTTTCTCCAAATTCAACGGTGTCATTTGAAATAAATAGAACAAACAAATCGTGACAGATATGAAACGAAACGCAAAAAACTGTGGACGCTTCCCAGAATAAGGAAACGTAGGGTCCACAGCACAGACTCAACCGAAGCGAAACAAGAAATACTTCCATAAATAACAGAAAGTTCAGTCTTAAAAAATAGGGTGGTGTCTCATCGACCGAGTCGGCTGGAAAAAAATGTCTGTAAGCTGAAAAACTTCTTCACATACCTTCACAAAACCTCTTTCCAGGAGGGAGAAGCGTGTATTCAGCTCGAATGCACATCACAGACTGATCTGAAGCCGAAACTCGAGTAGTTTAAATAGATGAGAGCCCTTTATAGAAACAGTTTGGATATGTCTGGTTTTGTGAATCAAGTCGACTGGGGAAATATTCTCAAAGCTCAGAAAAACATTCTGAGCTGATATATATATATATATATATATATATATATACTTTTAGTTAATTTTTATAATGTTTTTAGACATTATAAAAATTAACTACCTACCCTTTTTGTCTGGGAATGACGTCTCACCCTTTCTAAAAATAGACCATGACTCATTCTTTTCTTGGAATTCTATATGGCTTTTACTTTCAGTTCCCATTTGGTTGTTACTTTCACTTTCAATTCCTCACTTATCTATAAAAGCATTTCGCGTTTCAGTTCAGAACAGTGCGGGCTGTTGAAGATGCGACACGTCTCTCTCTCTCTACCCAATCCCAATGATGTTCTTCAGAGAAATTCTTTAAGAATTTCTTACAACTTCTGAACCTTAGAGAAGTGTATGTTTCTTTTTCGTACTTTCGAAGCCATTGGTCAAAGAAAGCGATTCCAATGAAATTATATCTACGAAAGGATTTCACATTTCCGTTCATTTCAGCGCGGGCTGTTAAAGATGCAGCACGTGAATTTTGAACATGTCACCCATGGATGATTTGGGGGAACCTAAAATAATGGGAGTGGATACTGGAACACACCGAGAGCTGACATCGTTCTAGGATAAGAATATTTTTCGAGATCTGTGCCTGCTTTCATCTACACAGATATGCTTTCCACGAAAGGTAGGTCATCTTTTCCATTTCTTTTTCAAGTATTTGTTCAAAGTATTCTTTTAAACACTTTCGAGTAAAACATTGTATAATTTTCTGTTTGTCCTGAATCTATAAAAATTTTCAATGCGTAGTTTTATTGCTATACCCGACATGGCTCATATGTTTTACTATACGTTTTAGATGAGACCCTCTCTTAAACATGAATTTCCTACTAAGAGTTGAAATGGCTTTCCCAAAGGCATGATCCTTTTAAAACATTGTGTGTATGTATTGTATGGTTAGCTTTCTCTCTTACGAGATAGTTTTGATATTCTTCTTAGGATGTATTCTTGATATCATCTCCACTATCTCGTGGTCGCTGAAATTTCGTGATCGCTCAAGCGAAAATGGTTCATTTTTTTTGGACTGAAGTGATTTCCGTTCGACAGATCTAGATTTCTTTCGTTGAGAGCTAAGAATCCAAATTTGAAGCTCTTCTGAAAACCATTCACTTATACAGCTACGAGGAAACTGGGCAATGCTGATCTGAAGTGGAATGTCTGTATACATCACGTTGAGAGACCCATTTCTAAAGGATCTCATAGAAACATTTGACACATTCATGAAGAAAATACAAACGTGTCGTCTTTCGGAAAGGCTGAAGCAGGCTCATGTTGAAAGATGGGGGGGGGCTGAATTTTTTTTTTCTTAGAAATTTGAAAAAAAATAGAGTGGTAAAACACAAACGTGTCTTCTTTTACCACACAGAGTTGTAAAATAACCCTCTATATATTTCAAAGTTGTCACGCGAACCCTGTCGAAGACTCTTCTTGAAACCGTTCAGGAATATCGTATCTAATACGAGGAAACCGTTATCCAGGTTGAGGTATCTTCAGCAGCGCAAGCCCTCTGAAACGAAGCTCGGAATACTTTTACAAATAATGTTGTTAAAAAATGTTAAAAAATGATTCTTAACCCATTTCTAAAGGATCTCGGAGAAAATTTGAAACACCCGTGAAGAAAATACAAACGTGTTGTCTTTTGGAAAGGATGAAGCAGGCTCATGTTGAGAGATGTTGCTGGAAAATATTTTTTCTTAGAAATTTGAAAACATATAGAGTAGTAAGACACAAACGTGTCTTCTTTCGAAAATGAGTAGGAGGGTCATTTTGAGATGGGCTGGAAAATATTTTCTGAGAGATTGAAAAAAAATCTAAGAATATATAATATATATTATATAATATAAAAGCTTTTTGTTAATTTTTATAATGTCTTCAGACATTATAATAATTAACTATACCCCCCTTTTTTGTTCGAAATATATCTCAACATGTCTCGTCCTGTTTCTAAAAAACAGACCATTCCTTTCTTGAAAATCTATTTTTTAGAAACGTAAGAGAACAGATTGAGACATCCTTCGAACAAAAAGGAGATTAGAGTTCATTTTAATAATGTCTAATAAGCAAAACACTTGTAGCGATCTTCGTTCTGCACTTTTCCTACAGTCAAACACCGGGGCTCTATTGTGTTCAGTGGGCGACCCGTTGTTCGCCCGTAGACAAACACGGATGTTCTAAACCAGAGGTCGGCTACCTATGACCCGTGGGTCACCGAGTGGCCCATTTGGTAATTTCAAGTGACCCACTTTAGTTCCGAAAATAAGGTATAAGATATACAAATATTTTTTTCTTTTTCCCAAAATATTTTTGTCGCAAAGTTATGAACGTACCAAATTTGAATCCAGTATAACATATAAAAATATCAGTTAAAGCCCCACCTCCGCCTGACTGGATATGGAATCGGCCGATAGTATGCGGAATGCAGCGACACTGTCTGAACAAATTGTACCATTCCTGGACGCGCGCCCCACCCCCTCCTGCCTGAATATAGAATCGGCCGATAGTATGCGGAATGCAGCGATATTGTCTGAACAAATTGTACCATTGTCGTTATCTCAGTTGTATATCAGTTATAGTTATAGCACGTGTAATACAGTAGCACAATAATATTGACCTAGTGACCTAGTGAAATAAATATTGTTATTTAAAAAAAATATCATGAACAAACAAAAAGCAAAAAAAGAGATTATTTCAAGATGTGTGGACAGAAAGTATGGGGTATCGAAAATGGTGACAAATTGATATGTTCTTTATGTACAGATATAATTACCGCCAGGACTTATAATATTGAGCGACACTTTTCTTCAAAACATAAAGATGTGAGTGAAATGGCAAATGAAGATAAATCTGAATGCATTGCTAAACGCGTATTAAATTTTGGAAAACAAAATAAATTCTTAAAGAGTTTTGTTACCAGCAATAATCACGCTACGTCTGCCAGCTATGTTGCAGCTCTTAGCATTGGTACCAACGGAAAACCATTTACAGACGGCGAGTTTTTGAAAAACCCATTCCTAAATTGTTCCGAACACTTGTTTAATGACTTCGCAAATAAAAAACAAATAATTGAGAGAATCAAAGAAATGCCATTGTCAGCTAGAACAGTCCAGCGTCGCGTTGAAGATATGGCCAAGAATATTGATGAGCAGGTCAAAAATGATTTGGTATCTTGTGACATAATTAGCATTGCAGTTGACGAAAGTACCGACATAAACAGTATTGGTAGGCTTGCAATAATTATTAGATTTGCATCAATAAATAGCTCGAATGTCAATGAAGAACTATGCGTTCTTGCTTCAATGAATGAAACCACCAAGGCACTGATATTTTTCGTCAAGGTACAAGAGTTTACAAATTTAAAAAAAATGGGCAAGTATTGGATTTAAAAAGTAAATAGTTTTCCATAACAACTGACGGTGCTCCAAGTATGAGAGGAAAAACTGTTGGATTTGTAAAACTAATGGAAAATGAACTTGGCCGTTCACTTTTATCGTTTCATTGTATCATACGTGAAGAAAATTTATTTGCAAAGGCACACAACAACTTAAGGATGTAATGGAAAAAGTTGTTAAGATCATAAACATGATAATAGCGCCATTAGCATTAATACATAGGCGCTTTAAAGCTTTTTTGGAGGAAATTGAATCGAAATATGGAGATTTGTTATTACATTATGAAATACGATGGTTAAGTCGGGGCAAAGTTCTTAATAGATTTGTAGAGTGTTTTGATGATATACAAATATTTCTTCACGAAATCGGTGAAAATGATCTCGAACTCAATGATAAACAGTGGTTTTTAAGACTTCTGTTCTTAACAGACATAATGAACCATTATAATGATTTCAACGTACGACTCCAAGGTGTAGGGTTTATATTTATTTTAACTAACATTTATTTTAAGTTTAAACTATCTTTCCTGTCAAGCCTTACTTTCCCCTGGAACTGCCAATGCCAGAATATGTAAATTTTAGTAGAACGCGCAAGGATTCAAATTATCAGCGGAAGTATTCTGATTTAAATAGAAGGAAACAAGTTCGGTGAGAGAGTTATTCTTACTTAGCGAGCGCGGAGGTAGTTAGCGAGAATTGAAGAACCCCGCGTTGCGGCCTATGTGCTTGGCGGGAAGTAGTGGAAATTGTTCCAGTGAGCTTCAAGTCTGCTGAATTAGCAGCGGTATTGTAAAACACGGTGAGTTAGTTATTTTAGAGAGCCTCGTAGTTAGAATCTTGTCTTTATTTTCTTTTCAGGTTATTATTTTTATTTTGACTGCCAAGTGGGCACAGTTTGTAAGCGTCAAGAGGACGCAATTGTAATTTATTACGTTGAATAAAAAGGGACTTAAACCCTTTATAAGACTCTGTGGTTTATACAAGCTTTCACAGTCACCCTTGGTTGCGTGCAAGTTGTAGGCGCGCAACGTTATAAAGGAAATAACCACACAATTTTGAAAATGTATGAGAAATGGAAGAGTTTTACTTCAAAATTGATATTATTTGAAACTGACATAAAAACTAAAAAATTTCATTTCTTTCCCTTGTTAAAAAGGGAACACGAAAAAGAAAATATCGATGAACGCAATCTAAATATGTTCGAAACTTGGATTTTGGTCATTAAAAGTGAATATGAAAGTCGGTTTCAAAGTCTTAAGAAACATAGAGAAATGTTTACATTTATAATAAAGCCCGATGAAATAGAAAAAAAATATTATAAATTTGCAGTATTTTGAATATCTAAGAATTGACAATTTTAGTTTAGAAATTTTCATTGATTTAAAAAGATCGTCACAGCATTATGGACGGATAAATTCAAGAAATTGCGGAACGATTTGGAAAATACAGAAAATAATCATTTTCTCATGATACCAACATGTTGGGCATCACTTTCTACGAGGTTTTCATCATTAAAAAAAATTGCCTTTGCCATTTTGTCCACATTCGGGTCCACTTATAAATGTGAGCAAATATTTTCACAAATGAAATTTATTTTAAGCAAAAACAGGAGCAGGTTAACTATTGAAAATTCAGATGCTTGTGTTCGACTTAAGACGACTAACTATAAACCAAACTTGACTAAATTTGACGTCACAATTTCAACATCAGGGGAGCCATTGATATCTTAGAGAAAGTTTATAAATAAAGTTCATTTAACTATGTTTGTAATTATTTCTTAATAAAATATATCTTATTATTTACTAAAATGCTGTTTTAATACGAAAATATCTCTGACCCAAACGTCTCTTTAATACTCGCATTTTGGTTGATTTTGACCCGCGGCCAAAAAAAATTGCCGACCCCTGCTCTAAACTTTCTCCCACCTCAACCGTGTCGTTTGAAATGAATAGGACAAACAAATCGTCACAGCTATGAAATAAAACTTAAAAACAGTGGACACTTTTCAGAATAAGGACACTTGTACCCAGGTGGATCTACAGCACGGACTGAACGGAAACGAAACGGGAAAGGCTTCCATAGATAACAGAGAGTACATTCTTAAGAACAGGGTGATGTCTCGTCGATCGAGTCAGCTGGAAAAAATTTCTATGAGAGGAGAAAAATGTTTGCATACCTTCACAGAAGCTCTTTCTAGGAGGGAGAAGTGTGTATCCAAGTAGAATACACAGCACATAGTGATTTGAAGTCAAAACTCGAGTGGTTTAAATACATAAGTATGAATTCCTTCTATCAACAATTTGGATATGTCTTGTTTTGCTCATCGAGTGACTGGGGAAAAATTCTCAGAGCCCAGAAAAAAATTCTGAGTTCCTTAAAAAAAAAAAAAAAAAAAAAAAAAAAAAAAATTGTTAATATTAACTACCTATTTTTTCCTTTTTGTCTGGGAATGATGTCTCACCTTTTCTAAAAATAGACCATGGCTCGTCATTTCTAAGAATAGAATTCCAAGAAAAGAATGAGTTATGGTCTATTTTTAGAAAGGGTGAGACATCATTCCCAGACAAAAAGGGTAAGCAGTTAATTTTTATAATGTCTAAAGACATTATATATAAAAGCATTCCACGTTTCTGTTCAGAACAGTGTGGGCTGTTGAAAATGCAATATATATCTCTCTCTACCCAAATCTGGACCCATGATGATTTTAAGAAGAAATCTTTGAGAGTATCTTACCATTTCAGATCCGAGCTGGATGTTTCTTTTCGTATTTCGAAGGCATTTATTTATCAAAGAAGAAGATTCCAATGGAATGACTTCAATATGTGACATGTTGAAATGAATATTTTGGGAGAAAATATATCCTTTGAGTCGATACCAGAGCGCCCCGAAAGCTGACATCGTTCTAGGATAAGAATGTTTCTCGAGATCTCTTCTCGCTTTCGTCTACACAGAAATGCTTTTCACGAAAGGTAGGTCGTCTTTTACATTTCCTTTTCAAATAATTGCTTAAGGTATTGTTGCGTGCGTACGGATTCGTTACGAAATGAATGCACAAGTCCGATGAAAAAATGAACAAAAATTTATTATTATCACAACAAATATGCTTAAATTTCCTAAAATATTCGTGCAGTATTACAATATATCACAGTAGTTATCTTTTAACTACTCAAACGTTCAAAAGAACTTAATTCCAAAACAGCTAAAGAAAGCTAATCCGCGAATTCGCTACAATCAACAAAGCAGTTTTCTAAACAACAACAAACTAAGTAACTACTACGAACTGAGAAGTTTTCCTCCTTTTATAAGATTTTAAAATCACGCACCAGAATTTTCTAGTACTTTCTCGAAATCAAAAAGAGATATTTATTAAATGTTAAAAGCACGCGCTCTTGTATTTTCAAATTTCCGGCTTAGCTTACTTTTAGCCATTTAATTTAAAATTGAACTAACATTAGCTTTTTAAAAACCAAATTCGTAACACTGCCCCCTTCCCAAGGACTGCACGTCCCGGGCAGTACAATCGCTGGACAGGAAGCTGTGGCATAAATGCAATAATAAACATTACATTAAAATAACAAAAAAAAAAAAAAAAAAAAAAAAAAAAAAAAAAAAAAAAAAAAAACATGAACAATAAATGCAATCAAATACTAAATACAAATCAAATACTAAATACAAATCAAATCCAAAATACACATTTAGAAACAAAAGGGGACCATGGTCTTACACTATTTGCAATTATTTACATTACGAGCTATGGCCATCGTAATGAGCTAACCTGTCGTAATGAACGACTTTAGGTTTATAGTTTGAAGACTTACGGATCCGAACCATGACGTCATTCAGTCTGTTCAGCACTGTATATGGACCATCCGAAGGTGACTGTAATTTAAGACTGAGTCCTTTTCGTTGAATCGGGTTCCACAACCACAGCTTGTCTCCTTCTTTGAATTTATGTCCAGTAGCTCTTGTGTCGTATGTGGTCTTCACCTTCTCCGTCGCCAAGTTGACTCGCTTTCGTGCAGAACGGTGCATCCCCTCAAACCGGGCCTGGACATTTTGGATGTATTCCTCAGGCGATGAAGGCGCATCCGTAGGGCGACCAAACAGTCGGTCACGAGGCTGACGAAGGTCTCGACCGAAGAGCATCTGGGATGGAGAACAGCTGGTAGTCTTGCGTTTCTTTTCGACTTTAGTATGATTTCGGCAGCTTCCCGAACTGGGTCTTTCGGACAAGGCCTCGACATTTCCAGGCGAGGATCCCTGTTGAGGATAGATAGTCATGTCATCAGATGCTGAAAGCAGTTTTTTGTTTTTCACGTCTAAGAAAAAATTGTATTCCCTTAACCCATTAACGGTTTGACCCGGATTTTCTCGTTCTTTTATGCAGGTCTTTTAACGGTTCGTTACGGATTATTGTTAGTTTAAATGTACCCTCGAAAACGGACAGTCCCGTGTTTTTGTATTATCGAAAAAACACGCCAAAAAGGACTAGCCCGTATTTTTGTATGTCTTCCAACCCCCAATGGCTAAGGGGACAAGGGTCCATGCAATCCTGACGACATATGTAATGGCTGTCATTAACGTGGGGAGAAATCTTCTTGATGTTTTGGGATAAAGGCCTTACACTGACTCTAAAGAAACAAATTTATTACCAGTTACAAAGTGGATGCATATAGAAAGGGATTTAAGAATTTCCGTTTTAGAGCAGTTATTGAATAAAAAATAGAATTTTTTACAAAATGAACGTTTACCTATAAGAGCATTAATGAATTAAAACGAGAAAAATAAAAGTAATAAATGCAAACATAAAAATCTGAAAATGCAAATCTTTCAGATTTTACATTACGCCCAAAGGGCATTTTTTTTTTTTAACGGTTTGTGGGTTACCTTTATTTTTAAATATCATGTTCTTCGCACCCAAACCATAGAACTTCAGTTAACAGCAATACCGCAAAATAAATTTTAAATGAGCCTATCTTTAGAATTTCCGATACA